ATTTAGATATCTTTAGTGAGTATATGTTAACTCGTGTTTATTGCTTGACCAGAGTCATCGATCGATCTTCCGAACAGAAATCGGTCGATGATGAGTTTAGTGTATCGGTCGATGTTCTTATTGAATAATCGATCGACACTGTCAATTGCGACCATCCGGTCATTAGACTTATTTATTTGAACGTTAGTTTAAGTAATTTGTTCAACAAGATAGTTAATGCTCTATAGTACCATGCAAACAGCTGAATAGCTTCTATAGGATTATAATCTCCAATATCTGAATAGAACCCTAGATATAGCAACCATCCTTCTATCAAAAAACTTCTTACCAAGCTGAACGATTTCCTTGTTCATCTTGTTTACTATTTTACTAGGTGATTTTCCCGTGCTCATGCACGGGTATGAATATTTATCAAGTAAATATATTGTAATATATTCTAATTTATTAATTTACATAGATATTTACTTTTAATTATAAATTAATTTATAATTTATATGTATAACTTATATTAATAATATTAGATTATTTTAATTAGATATATGATTGAGTAGATGTTATATTTAATCAGTTAGGTTGCTTTTTTTGGTCAATAGTCGATTTGGTTACATTTGTGTATTTTAGATTGCATCTATTTTTCTGAATTCAACTATAATATTTTCCTTCTAAATATACTAAAACTTTAATTATTATTGTATTTAGATTGATTATCGTCTTATATATGTAAATATATTTTAATAAGATTATGTATAACTTAATATATATTATGCTTATAATGAAATTTAAAATAAACAGAAATTTTGACACAAAATTATATAAATGAATATAACGATAATATTCTGAAGTCTAATTCATATATAAAAAATTTTACAAAAAAAAACTGAATTATAACAGTTGGTTAAGAATTTTTTTTTTCTATATGATATTTTTGAGTCATTTTGTAATCTATATGTATAAAAATAAATAAATAATTATTCTAAAATTATATGTTCTTGTTGTAGTTAGATTCGTTCCATTACTCGTTTTGTGAGTATATTGAGTTATATATATTTTTCTAATTAAATCAAATCAAATTAGTTTTATTTACCGTTTAATGCAAGTATTTTATAAGATTTTTAATAATTTGACATATGTTGATTTTTGGGAAATTGCCAAAAATAACATTTTCAAGATACCACTTTTCAACTTTACACCAACCAACTTTATCACTAAAATTTTAATAGTCAAAATATTATTAGAATTTAGGGTTTAGGGTTTATGATTGATAGTTTAGGGTTTATTGTTGATTTTTTAGAGTTTATGGTTTACTTTTTAGAGTTTAGAATTTAGGGTTTAAGGTTTAGAATTGATATTTTAGGGTTTAGGGTTTACTTTTTAGGGTTTAGAGTTTAGAATTGATGTTTACGGGTTTATGGTTAATATTTTATTAAATATTTATTTTATGTATATATATAAAAATAAGGATATAAGAGTCGGTTCAATCGGCACTCGAAAGTGAGTTACAAAGTATTTTAATGGCGATGCAGTATTGTTGGAGTAAAGGAATGAGACATATTATTATTGAAGGCGATAACCAGAAGGCTATTGATCTGCTCAATGGGAAAGGGTTAAATTTTGATTTATACAATTGGATAAGAGAAATCAGATGGTGGCAAAGAAAATTTGAGGCAGTTCAGTTTCATTGGATCAGACGTGAAGGCAATAGAGCTGCGGATAAATTGGCGCGTAACAGAGATCAAAATTCGAATGATTATGTGTTTCATTACTTTGTACCAGTTTTTCTTGATCATATACTGCATCAAGATTATGTAAACAGTGATCATCATTAAATGAAAGTTTAGACGTTAAAAAAAAAAAAAGGATATAAGAGTCTTTTATCCTTTAATAATATGTGTATTTTTGAAAATATTTCTTTGTTGATGGTAAACATGAAAAGTGGTACCACCAAAGTGATATAATTGAAATTTTCCCTTGATTTTTAAGTATATTAAAAAATAAAGTGACGATCAATAAGAATTTACAATCAATAAATATGAGTATAAAGATAAACATTTGAAATTTAATGGGAACATATCAATATTTACAATAATTAAATATTTATAAATTCTAAATTATTTTATACCTTAGATTTCTTAAAAGGTAAATTGAAACTTTTTAAACAATCTTAAAAATGAGAACTTAGATTTACTTGAGTATTTTGATTATTTATCTATTAAGTTCCATAAACATAAAAAACATAAAATTAAAAAGCAAACTATATATTAAAAAGAATTTTTAATAATGATAAAATGTTATATTTTCATTTCATTAATAGTGTATAGTGCTACGCTATTTTAAAAAAATTGAAATTATTTGATCAAAATATTTATTTGTGTTAAAAAATTATTTTACTTTTTAATATCTCTTAAATAAACACTAAAAATGTTGTTTTACGAAAATTTCGAAAAAAAATATTTAATTTCGTTTATATATAAACATTTTTATTTCATAAGTATTTTTTTTTTGTATATGTGTGTTTAAAAAGTAAACATAAATTAAAAAATTAAGTAAAATCTTATTATGAGAAAAGGAAATACATTATTAATATCAATCTTATTTAATATTTTTGTTCATTAAGAGTATCTATGTAATTAACCATCGTGGGAGTTAACGTGAGCGCGACACGTAGGAAACTTACTTCTCAAATAATATTATAGAGATATATTTAAATTAAATATTACTATTTTGTTAACTTTCCTTTTTTATTAAACCATATTATATATACTTATATTTTCGTTTTTAAATAGTTATGTAAATTTTATAAATGTTTCCTTTTTATTTTATATTATTATTTGGAAATTTTTAAAAAGAAAATAATATTTAATTGTATTTTTAATTCATTAGGGGTATCATAGTAATTAACCAGCGTGAGAGTTAACGTGAGCGCGACACGTAGGAAACTGACTTCTCAAATAATATTATAGAGATTGCTTGCTTATTATTATTTTTTACCTAGATTATTAATAACTGTTTAGATTTAATTGGTTCCTTAGCTCCTCGTGATTCGATCCCTAAGTACTACAACTGAACCTCTTATTTGAGAGAGTAATTCACTCTTTATGGTAATTTGAGTGACATCAACAATGAACTATTATTATGCATTAATATATATTCACTTATCATTTATCAAAATGAATCATAAAAATTATATCTTATTTTTATCAATTTTATAATAATAATTCATGTTAAAATAAAACTATCATATTGAATTAGATATGAAAATTATATTGAATTGATAAATTTATAGTTATATTTTCATAAATATAAAATATTTATGCTAAAAATATTATACGATGACATAACGACTTAACATTCGCTGACTATATGATACATATACAAAATTGACATATCTTAGACTATATACGAAGAATAGTTTTTTAAATGAATAAACATGAAAATATTGCCCAAAGGAATACGACTTTGAAGATTGGTGGGTCAGAACCGAATATACATTTGATACAAAATAATTTTCAAATATTTTGCTTCATGTATATCTTAATTTTTTAATAACTAAATAAAAATACATTAACATAAATATATAATAAAAAGTGACAAATACATGTGATGGTTTTAAACAATTGATTAGTTACACCATGTCAAATATAAAATTATTTTATTTGAAATATGTATATATTCATTTAAATATATTGTTAATGTTAAAATTATATACCACTAATGAACTAAAATAAATATATATGTTTACAAAACTGAAAAGAACATCCGCGCGGTTGTGTGGGTCAAGATCTATTTATATTTTAAGATTTAAGAAAAAAATATTCTCCGCATACTAATTGCACATTCCGTCCATCAAGTTTTTGAACCATGGATATATCCCAACTAGGGGTGATGGATCGGATATCCGAGGTATTTTAGGATACGCGGATCTAGATTCGTCGGATCCGTAAAATTGCTATCTGGATCTAGATTCGGGCTTTCTGGATATCTAGAATAAAATTCGAATACCCATAGATATCCAAATCCAGACCCCAGATATTACGGAACGGATCGAAACAGAACTCAAATCGGACAGTGGATATTAAATCCCAACCCTAATCCCAACTTTAACATGGTTACTTTTAGGCTATTTTTAGGCTTGGTAGTTTGGTCGACAAAAAAAAGGTCAGGGTGCAGTAAAGCCCAGTTAACACTTTTAATTAACCGGTCGTGTCAAGAAAACCATAGAATTTGAGAGACTAAAATTGAGTGTGAACTGATTGAGTTCTATGATATGGGGCTAGGAAGCAAAATGAGTGTGAAATGATAATTGAGAGATGGAAAAATTCTTATTGGAAAGGAAGAAAACAAGAAATTGGCTTCCAAGTCCAAAAAGTAATTTTAACTAAACATCTGAAAAGGCCCAACAAAAAAGGTATAGAAATAGAAAATTCATGTGACGGAAGCGGAAAGTGAAAGCACCAACAACCCCCTCTCTCTGTAGTATTTGAGTTGAGCTTCTCCTTCTTCTTCACCTAATCCTCCTTCAACTGTCTTCTTTTTTTCTTCACCTAATCCTCCTTCAACTCTCTCTCTCTCTCTCTCTCTCTCTCTCTCTCTCTCTCTCTTCGAAATCTGATTCCTCATTCTTCCCAGGTTCATGTTTTGTCTAATAAAATCTCAGTTTTTTCTGTTTTGTAATCGTAATTACGAAGTAGTAACTCTGCTGAGATTGTTCTGTGATCCGTTTGATTTTGGCTTGTCTTTGCTCTCTGTTAAAATCCAATAGATTCTTCTATATCTGTGTTGGGTAAGATCAATCTTAAAACATTGAGATTCACTTCATGCAACTGATAATAGGTTCTCTGATGAGATACTGAAGGCAGTGAAATTCGATTCGTTGCAATCAATTAGTGTCTTTGGTTCTCTGTTCGTTTCCAAATATCGATCTGAAGCAGTGACTGTGTATTTGAGTTTCTCTGTTGACTGGTGAGACTGACGTTGTCTTTTGTATGTGTGTGGGAATTAAGATGGGATCTGGTCAGTGGCACGTGGAGAAAAGGTCTACTCTAAGGAATGATTCGTTTGTTAAGGAGTACGGTTCATTAGTTCCAGAGACTGGTTGTCTTTCAATCGTCGTCCTTGGCGCCTCTGGTGATCTTGCCAAGAAGAAGACTTTTCCTGCTCTTTTCAACCTTTTCCGCCAGGTTTGTTCTAGCCACACTATATGTTTATTGTACCCTAGTTATGAGTTATGATCTTTTTGTTTGAATGAGCAGGGATTTCTCAACCCAGATGAAGTTCACATCTTTGGGTATGCCAGGACTAAGCTTTCTGATGAAGAGCTTAGAGATCGGATCCGTGGGTGAGTGAGAGACCTCAACACTCTTTTACACTTCTTTTCTCCGCAGAAATGGTTAGCTCATATTTTAATAACCTTTCTGCAGATACCTTGTTGATGAGAAGAATGCAGAGGCTTTGTCAAAGTTTCTACAGCTGGTTGGTTCCTTTCTTTTGGTTTGTTAATTCCACGAATACAACCATGTTTTCTGAAAGTAGGAGTTTTTTTTTTTTTTTTTTTTTTAACTCGGATCAATTTAGATCAAGTATGTGAGTGGCCCTTATGATTCTGAGGAAGGGTTCCAGAGATTAGACAAGGCCATTTCGGAGCATGAAATCTCCAAAAATACTTCAGAAGGATCCTCCAGAAGGCTTTTTTACCTAGCACTTCCACCCTCCGTTTATCCTTCTGTGTGCAAGATGATCAAGACATGCTGCATGAACAAATGTAAGTTTGTTTCTTAGATGCAAAAGGTTAACCTGATTGTGCATAATACACTTAGTTGCTTTGTAATTTTCTTATGACTTCCAGCTGATCTTGGTGGATGGACACGAATTGTTGTTGAGAAGCCATTTGGAAAGGACCTGGAATCTGCAGAGCAACTTAGTTCTCAGATTGGAGAGTTGTTTGATGAATCACAGATTTATCGTATTGATCATTATCTTGGCAAGGAATTGGTCCAAAACATGGTAACTAACATGCTTCACTATCGAGAGTCTAGTCATCATGCTATTTTCTTGGATAAACAGTCACCATTTTATCTCCTGGCATCACTTGTGCAGTTGGTCCTCCGATTCGCCAATCGCTTTTTCCTGCCACTTTGGAACCGTGACAATATCGAGAACGTCCAGGTGAGAGAAGAAAGAAATTGTCAGATTGTTATCTAGAGTCGAATGCACATATGATTCAAATGCTTTTCTTTCAGATTGTTTTCAGGGAAGATTTTGGAACTGAAGGGCGTGGTGGATATTTTGATGAATATGGGTACTTTCTTTAGTCTCTTCTTGCTCGTCATTTAGGATCTGTGACTGATGAAATGTACACTTCCTGTTTCACAGAATCATCCGTGATATTATTCAAAACCATCTGCTCCAGGCAAGTGTATCTGAGATCATTTCCTTGATAACGGAACCCTCTATTAATGTTACCCTCCAAGTTTCTATGTTAGTGCAAATGCTTTCATGTATTTACTGACTATAGATTCCTGCAGGTTCTTTGCCTTGTTGCCATGGAGAAACCAATTTCTCTTAAACCCGAGCACATCCGGGATGAGAAAGTGAAGGTGACTATTAATATGCTTTTGGAACATCTCTGTGCAACCTAGCTACATTTTCATCTGCAGTCTCAGTCAATTAACTCAAAATTACTGGTTATCTCAGGTGCTTCAATCAGTGGTTCCAATAACAGATGAAGAGGTTGTTCTTGGACAATATGAAGGGTATAGGGATGATCCTACTGTTCCTGACGACTCAAATACTCCAACATTTGCCACAACAATTCTTCGCATACACAACGAAAGATGGGAAGGTAACATGTCCTACATCAAATTTTAAAATTTCAACTCGGGAGCATCAGCTGATCTTATGGCTGAACATCTTTTCGTTGAACGGATATAGTTCATTCAAAAAAGTGCGTACTAATCAGGAGACGATGAGAAGATTTGTAGGTTTCACATATATATGTGGCTTCACTCCACTGTTTTTTTCTCAAAATACATTAGTTTAGTTCATTTTATAATTATCCATCAACTATATAAAAGTACATTTTTGTCTTTCAGGTGTTCCATTTATACTGAAGGCTGGAAAAGCCTTGAATTCAAGGAAGGCAGAAATTCGGATTCAGTTCAAGGATGTCCCAGGCGACATATTCAGATGTATTGTTATCCCCTCACATTTTTCTTTTAGCTGTAGCTTAAGCTCTTCTTTTAGCTTCTCGAATTTAAATTTATGTGCTGCAACTCTTGTGCATGCAACAGGTCAGAAGCAAGGGAGGAACGAATTTGTGATACGCCTGCAACCATCAGAGGCAATGTACATGAAACTAACTGTAAGTATGTATACAATGAACAAACAAAGATAACTTACTAACTAGTAGAAGAAAAGCTCCACCCTGATTCTCTTGTCTATGTTTTTGCTACACAGGTTAAGCAACCGGGTCTAGAGATGCAAACCGTGCAAAGTGAACTAGACTTGTCTTACGGGCAACGTTATCAAGGTGTCTCGATCCCAGAGGCATACGAGCGCTTAATTCTTGACACGTAAAGAAATCATTTCTAGTTGCTGCCTTCTGTTCCTTCATATTGCGCTATTATCTTCAGTTTTTTATCCCCATATTTCTGCAGAATCAAAGGTGATCAACAGCATTTCGTTCGCAGAGACGAATTGAAGGTAGAAACATGTTCTTTCTCAACCCTTGAACCGAATCAATCTCATAGATCTAAAAATCTCTTTTGACACAATCAAAACATAGATACAGTTTTAGAAGCTGACATTGGTGTCAATTTTGATGGTTACAGGTTGCGTGGGAGATCTTTACACCGTTGCTGCACAGAATTGACAACGGAGAAGTGAAGTCAATCCCATACAAACCAGGAAGCCGAGGACCAAAAGAAGCTGATCAGTTACTGGAGAAAGCTGGTTACCTTCAAACTCATGGCTACATCTGGATCCCTCCTACATTATAAACACACAATACATGCATCTATCCACATGTATATGTATGTATACGGTAAGTTAACAACTATACATCTCTTTCCCTGAATGATCTATCTCTGAGTTTGGTCTTTTGTATGTGAACCTATGTGACTTGTATTGTCCACTTTGAGATTTTGTCTTGTGTTTTGCTTTGTAGTATTAAAAGAAAACATAAATAAGTTGTTTTCCTAGTGGAAATTCTAGCCCATTATACCGCCCTGACTCCACAATAACGTACGATTATCCTTTACCAAAAAACAAACACACATTATTAATTTAATAATTCGTACTAACAAAGTATATGTTTCTAGTTTACCAAAAAAGTATATGTTTCTAGTCAACATTATAAAAACACAAGTGTTGAGAAAGGTACATCAATATTTCAAAGCTTTGAGACACGTCAATAAATGAAAAACAAGAAAGCCAATTAAATCTTTTATTTGTACACATCAACTTTGATTAACTTTCTTACACATCAGATTTGTGTTGATTTCCTTTATTTTTATTTTTATATATAAATATATATATTGTTTTTTGAGAAGTGATTTTATTTATTTGTCGATTTCTTCATAATTTTATGTAATTTTATTTATTTTTTATGTTTTTAATTCATGAGTCATCTGTGTTCAAAAAAAAAAAAATTCATGAGTCATCAATTGAAGTTTTATTAAATAAATAATATTAAAGATTATGATAATATTCTAAATATTTTTGCTTGACCCGATCTTTAAAATCATATTAACATACACTAATCAATTTGTAAGAAATTTAATTAGTAGAACTCTGTCATATGTGCATACTACATACTATGAATTCACAATTTAATTGCTGTTTTCAATATTTCTCAAAGAAAAGTATATATACATGATGAACTGACTTTCATTGTATTGATCAAAACTTTGAGATTTCATAATTCTCAAATAAATAATACAGTGAACTAAGTTTCAAAGTATAATATGTATAGTATTCTTAGTACATGTATTAATAATTGAATAAGTTGAAGTAAGAGTTAGAGCATAATTCTTAGAATATACTATCTTTTAAAATATTTATTTATTATATTATATTATATATACTGTTTGAGCAACTTATAATAAGTTTTATAGAACATGTGGCTTAATGTTTTAATATATATTATTTTATGTTAAATAGCTAATTTATAATTTATTATAATAAAATAATATATTTTATTGTAATTTGCATGATTTTTATCTTCATCAAAATATATATATTGAAATTCAAATGTAAATTTATAGATATATTTTGACTAGGAACCTAACTTCAATAAGCAATATATCATATTTAATGTAAAAGTTAACAAATATATCAATATCTTGAGAATATTTAAAGGATCTCTAACATATAGATGTATTGAAATTAATCTTACATTGTTGATTAACTATGTACATGACTAAATTATACCTAATAATTAATTCTGCTTAAAATCCAAAAATAATTATATATCATATATCCAAGTAATATAATAGAATCTTTTCAAACTTAAATATTAGATAATATCATAACTCATATATGATAGTCATAATAAAAAGTTAATGCATATATGATAATTTCTCTTTTTAATTTTTACTTTTACTTTTTTCATAATCATGAAATACATTTGTTAAGATGATTAATATAATGTACCAAAATTAATGTTATTGTTCCATTATTAACAATTCAAAAGGCCTCTATAGATTTTTATCAACAAATATGATTTATCAAAATTATTATAAATTTCAAATATATAAAAAACTTACTTACAACAAATAATACTGAAATTATATTTTTTCGCGATATCGCGAGAAATCATTTAGATTTAGTTTTCCTCTAAGATTTTGTTGCTAAATAAAGATTTTCTTTGAGAAAGAAATTACCGCCATTTGAGGACCGCCCAGATTGAGAATGTCTGATCATTTCTATAGTTCCTTATGCTCCAATTTCCGGTCTTCGTAATGCAAATAAGAAGATGACTATTATTTTCTGGACTTGGAAATAGATTCAATGTGAATATAAATCTTCAGATTAGTTACCAACCATGGCTTTCTCTGTTGCTTTAATATTTCCAAGGAGTTTAGGGACGCATATTACTATCCTTCTGGTTTAGATTAGATACTTCTTCTATAAGGTCAGTTACATTGAGGATTTTGAATCATTCTTTCAATTATTGAATAGCTTATAGTGAGGTAGTTGAAAAAAAAAACCTGATGAGGATTCAATAAAGTTGAAAGTATTCAACATGTTGAATATCTATAAACGTGGTCCATTTTTATCACTTTTTTTTATCTCATCGTAAATATTTAAGGTCAAATATATTATCATACATTTCAGAAGAAGTCATATATTTATTTTCCAGTAAAGTTATGTTACTAAATAAAGATAATTATTATCTTCAGACAAGAAGTTACCGTCATTTGAAGACAGTCCACATTGAGAATGCCTGATCATTTCTCCAGTACCTTATGCTCCAACTCCCGATCGTCGTAATGCAGTTAATAAAGTGACTATTGTTTTCTCAACTTGGAAATAGATTCAATATGAATATCAATCTTCAGATTAGCTATCAACCATGGCTTCCTCTGTTGCTTTAATGTTTCCAAGGAGTTTAGGTAGGCGTATCACTCCCCTTCTTGTTTAGATTATGTATTTGTCCTATAAGGTTAGTTATAGTGAATATGTTGAATCATTATCAACTATTGAATATCTTACAATGAGGTAGTTGAAAAAAAAATATCAGATGTGAATTCAATCTAACTGAATGAATTCAATATGTTGAATATCCATAAATAAGGTCTATTTTACCACTTTTCTTTGTCTCTCATTTTAAATATTTAAGATCAAATATAATAAATTATATATTTTGCGTGTTCAAAAAAATTATACTTTATGAAAAAAGAAAATATACTAAAATTTATTAGTTTTTGTCTTTTATAAATAATGATTTGGTTCATTTAGTTTGGATACATAAACAAATATTTCATTGACTAATGTAAAATAAAATGATGGGGTATGATATTGAATTTTTTTAAAACAAAATTATTGTCTAGTAGAATGTTGAATTAATATGTGGAAGAGAGATGATTATACAGAGTATTAAAAACTATTAAATGCGGTGTTGAATAATTTTTCCATTGTAAGTCTAAGCTATTGACTTTCAGTTCATAATCATATTTTATTTCTTCTTTTTCATATTTTTGACTTTCTTGGTTGTAAACACAAGTTTTAAATATAATTCGCTTTGGTTTCAACTTACTTCTCAGTTTTATTCCTTTTTTTCTAATAAAAAGTAATACTAAAACATTTAATGCTTATGAATCAATTTACTTTTTATATAAAAATACAATAATATTATTTTAGTAAATAGAAAAACACTATTGCTTACTTTGCTTACAACTTATTACAAATCTTATTCCAATTTTTCGTTACTACATATTTTCAGGGGTCAGCTGATATTGTCATTTGTTCACATATTAAACTGTAAAGGACTACAATGGAATGATTAGGATCAAGGATCACCACTAAACAAAAACAATCGTTATGTTTAGACGACAAACATTTCCCAACGTGACATTTCTCACTCTTGCAAGGAATTTGATATAATTAACCACCATTATGTTTATTACACGTGAAGTTCCATGTGGAGTACTTATAGGATCTTAATGGTAACCGCAATTGTGATTATATTAGAGGTGCAGAATTAAAGTACGGTACATATCAGTTGTGGTTCATGTGGTTTGAGAGATAAGTGCAGATTTAATAAAAAAATCAATATGGTTTTGACAAAAAAAGTAAGTGCAGTTTTGATAGAAAAAAATGTAAAATAAATATAATAGTATGATTAGAAACCGAATTTGTTTACTTAGTTATAATATCATAATATTTTTTTCTTTTAATATAATTTTAAACAAAATTAATTATTATATATATTCCTGTTAATAGAAATTTAAATACAAAAATTCTTTTGAAATAAAATTATAGAATAAAAAATATTGTATTTTATTAAATATTTTTACTTAAATTAGAAATATAATTTATTTGGGTATTTAAGAATTTCTTACCATAATCAAAGTTATAAAAGTCGTATGGTTACATAATTAATTAAGTTAACATATATAATTTTATAAGGACTGAATATTTTACATTATATAGTAGTGATAAGTAACTATAGAATACACACATTTTTTTGTCAACATCATGAAACAAACACCTCTAATTCAAATATAACACCATAATTAAATTGAGTAAACAAATAATATTCTCTCAATTAATAATTAACTGATCGAGCTATAAAATATAAATCATCTATTTTATTTTAGGATATTTTGGTTATATGTATAAATAACTAGAAAAGGTTATAACTATATAATATAAAGCAACCTGTATGCGCATGAAAAAGTAACTCTCACATATCAAAATCATGACACGTCTCAAATAAAATAAAAGTATTTTGGAAAGCTTAGTTAAAAGTTTTAAATGAAAAATAAAAATATTTTCAGTCTTGAGTGCGTTATTTGAAATACGCTAGTAATAAGTTGCTGCATAAGAAAAAAGCGGTCCACTGAAGAAATTGGTTATTTTTGAAAACTGTGAATAGCATTTAGGAAAAAAATGAAAAATGCAAATCATACATGAAACTATTGAATAGTGACAGAGTGCAGATTTCTCAAAAAATAGAATTAAGCACCGCTTATTGGTTACCATTCATTACTTAATTTTGGATACGCTTCACACCAAATCATCAGCCCAAGAATTGTTGTGTTTCCTGGAATTCGTAATAATAGAGGTAAACATTACTTAAAAAATAAGTAAATATTTTTTAAATTAAATTGTAAATTTTACTTTTATATGTTTTACTAAATATAGTTTTTAGAAGATTCATAAATAATATATTTGGTTCTGATTTCTTTCATACACCAATGTTTTAGCATTTCCAACTAAAATAAACAAATATATCAAAATTGTTAATTATTGAAATTTCAGATCAATTAAAAAGAATTATAGTTACTGTGTCAGAAATCCTTAGTTTAAATGACTGATGGGACAAAACTAATACTAAATAATATAGCTTTAGGTTTAGAAAGATACATGCTTAGGCTCCAAATCTCTTAGTATTTTAAGAAAAAGATTCATATTCATAACATACAACTATATATTGAAAATTTACCTTCATTTGGTTTCGGATCTGGAGAGATTACGAGATCCGATCTCGAACGTCCTGATT